TGGTAACACACATAGCTGCACATTGCTGTGTCTTCCAGACACACTTGTATGGGAGGTGCTAGGGCAGTGCAAAACATGGGTAACCAGTAGTTACCACTAGCACTTCCGTTACTGGCAAAAAACAGCCGCAGTGCACATAGTGTGAAAGAGCCCATTATCAATGTCAGATTGCATCCACTGGACTCTATAAAAACAACCAAGTGCCACTTTTAAATGCCCATTGCAACAGTTTTTCTTATTAAAAGCTGGAAATGGCAGGATATTTATATATATACCCCTACTGTGACAGCCTGGCAGAGCATTACAAAGGAGAAAACCCAGCATCTGGTGATGTCCATAAGTACAAGACTTCAGGCTGTCATTACCAGGAAAGGGTTTCATCCAAGTATTAGATATGAACATTTGATTTTCAGTTTTTCATTTGTCCAATTACTTCTGAAACCCTGAAATTAAGCGATTTTGTAATAAAATCTTTAGTTCATCACATTTCTATACAATCTTTTTGTTCAACCCACTGAATTAGGGTTCGTTCACACTAGCCGTGCTGCCGTTGCAGTGTGGTGCAGTACTGCAATGCAGCGCAGCTAGGGTTAATGCAGGGTACACAGGTTTCCATCATGTTTGCGTTGATGCTAATGTGCAGTGGTGCATGTTCACACAAATGCCCTGTAGCACGCATTTTTACAGGCGCAAGGGGGAGAAGCAAACGCAGCGCAAAATGCATTTGTTTTGCTGCTAACACATGCGGTTAGTGGCCACGGTAGCGTTACTGATACCGCATCTGTATCAGCAAAAAAATGCAGCCGCAGCATGGCTAGTGTGACATGTCCTCTGTGTGTCTTTTTCCCTGCTGCGCGCGTCCGCAGTGGGAAAAAAAACTGCAGTGGATACAAGCCCTAAAAGCTGAAAGTCTTTGTTGTTTTATTAACAAGTCATTGTGATGTACAGAATGTGGGAACAGGAAAAAATTGTGTTTGAGTAGAGCTCTTAATCTTACCTCAGAAAGGCTCTGATACTGTGCTCTCCAGGGACGTGTCTCCCTACATCCCCACGATAACGTGTCTACGCTTTCCCAGGGTGATGTCGGGAGACGCATCCGCGGGCATTACAAGGAGCCTCTGGAAGATTGAGAGGTTGTTCCTTCTACTGAATGGGCGGATATAAATCCGCCCACTCAGAAGAAGGAGCTGCGGCCATGTTTCCCGACGTTGCCATGTTAACACTGCTGCTGGTGAAGAAGCGGAGGGGAGAGCAAGAGAACCCTCCACTCTTTCGGCTCCGCAGGCCAGATAGAACAGCCGAACAGGCCAGATCCGGCCCGAGGGCCGTAGTTTGCCCACGGCTGACTTAGAGCCAGACATCCACAAGCCACATCTACAGGAGGCCATGGGCATGAGTTCTGGTAGAGTATTGTACTGGTGCATGAGACAGGTCAGTAAGCCAGGACAAGTGGAACAGGGAAACAGCAGATATCTGAACAAACTGGCAGAGCAATTTACAGCAGACACAGAAGGTCACCTCCCTAGAGATAACACCTAAGCCTCAGTTGTATTGTTACAGAATTCCTAAAAAAACCAAGCTATGCTTTAAAGAAGGGGAGGGACACTGTTTTAATTACGCAGGGGGGACTCCAGGAATAATTTCCAAATCAGAGTGAAGAAACATGCAGAGAGCCTGTCTATATGTATTCCACTGGGGTCTTTGTCTTGCAGATATGGTTCCGCCTCCTTTCTTGGCTTACAGGAAGGCCCCCAGGTGTTGGGGGTTCCCAGGTAATATCCCATGATTTGTCCTGGGGCCAGCGATAACAACATTACCCCCCCCCCCCTCCCCAGGGCAGTGCTTTGTTTACAGTTTTTATGGCCTGACACACCTTGCAAGACCAGTTTCCTCCTCAGTATTTCAGC